ACCTGTAGCTTGTACCTGGTGGAGGAAAGGGTGATGGGTCTTTAGTTGCTCAGGTTATGCTTCCTTTTCTTGTGAATGAGCATAGTCATGGCTATCTTCCAGGAGGTGGGCATGCAGCAGAACTCCTTGTACTGGTTGAAGAACAGCAACATGAGCATGAGGCATGACACAGGCTTCTCTAAGATATCCATAGGCCAAAGAATGGGGTGGGCCACCCGGGTCATGGCCTTACCAACTTTTAGCACATTCATTTAGCTAGCTATGCAGTTAAAAAAAATAGCTATACTTTTTTAACCGGAATGACAATTGCATATTTTTGGGTTATATATATTAACATGCTAAAAGCTGCTGGATCCTCTTCCTGGATTGCTCTGCCTTCCCATGCTAGGGTTTTGGGGCTTCTGTGGCAGAGGTGGTTGGGTTGTTTGTTGAGCTGCTGCATCCTTGAGGTTGCCTGATTGAGCAACAGCTGACAGCTCTTCAGTTACTCTGTTTATCAAAGCTTTGAAGGTCTAGAAAGCTGTGGACTTGCTGAGCCCCTCCATCTAGATCGCCTTCCAGGGTGTGGTGGGTCTTTGCAGTGGCTTGAGCAATTTGGCTGCTCAAGGGAAGCCTGGGAAGCTGGGTTGGTGGCAGCAGGAGCCTCTGGAGTTCCTGGGGTATTCCTGAAGGCAGGGCTGCAGTAGCTTCTTGTGTCTGGGGGAGGAACACGGGGGGGAGGAGTGCATGGAATCATGACCAGAGCAGCTGGCCTTGCTGCATTAGGCTCCTTTGTCCTGGGCTGGCTCTGGGTAGTGGGCATGGCTGGAGCAGCTGGTTGTGATGTGATGGGCTCCTTCATTGCAGGGTGGCTCTGGCACAATCAGGAGGGATTTCAGCAGTTTCAGTGCTTCTGCATGCATTGCAGAAGGCACAAAGGAATAACAGACACTTCTTGTGCATGCACTGCAAGTGCTACTGGAAGTCATTGGTGAGGCAGGCAGAGAGCATACCTGATCTGAGCCGGAAAGGCTGAGAAGTAAATGTTTCAAAACTTCAATGTTTTTGAAGTTCAGTGTCCTTTAGAATGGTTTCCATGTTACCTTTCAGAGGAAGACACTGTTCCCCCACCTCACCATCCCTTTTGCTGTATCTAGCTATCCTTAATTAATTTTTTACTTGCCTTTGGCTGTCTGATCTCCAGCCTCATGGAAAACCCTAAAAAACAGCAAGAATCTATATCAGATTATTATTTTGTGGCATAATGCACTTTACATGATGCTTCTTGCCAGACTTCGCATCTGCCCTCTCTAGGGTTGATCTGGTACAGATATACAGACACTTACTTCATAGTTCCACCTCCTATACTGGCTTCCCTGAGCTGATGAACTAGAAATAAGTGTCAGGCCACAGGAAGCTCCCACAGTCTAGATGTATCCAACCCTTTTCATAAAAGCCAGCCAGGAAATCACTTTGTTTGTGATACTAGGAAGAAGTCAGATCATCTCTTCCTATGAAAATTGAGGGTGATCAGCCAACGTGTTCCAATGCAATCTATTTCCAACTAGTAAATATAACCCTTAGTTTATACATGACAAATTGCTTCAACTAAAAACCAGCCAACCTCCTCAGGTTTGTTTTTATTTGGGGATAATGCAACGTCTTGTTTGCCTGGGTAAATCTGCTATAAGTGAAGTAACCTAACTTCAAACAATCCAAAATTAATCAACTTTATTTACCTGAGAAGGCTGAATCTCTGTAGGTGCATGTCTTTTTCAGACATAATCCAAACCTCACTCCACCCTTAAATTAAGCTTCTTAATTTAATTAATGTGAGATTAATTATTAAGAATATTAAGCGTTCATAGCACAATGATGAGAGCAGTCACCTGGAAGGAAGGAGCCTTGATCTCCAGTTCTGCTTCTAACAATGCTTATATATTTTGCATTGATCAATCACTGCATAAAGTTCCTAAAAAAAACGCTAGGCTGCCAAATCACATGGACAATAAGCTGAATATGAGCCATCAGTGTACCTTTGTTGTGAAGAAGGCTAACGGTATACTGGGCTTTATTAGCAGAATTGTTGCCAGCAGATCAAGGGAATTGATTATTCCCCTCTACTCAGCACTGTTGAGGCCACATCTGGAGTACTGTGTTCAGTTTTGGGCCCCCCACTACAGAAACAATGTGGACAAATTGGAGAGAGTCCAGTGAAGGGCAACAAAAATGGTTTAGGGGGCTGGGGCACATGACTTCTGAGAAGTGGCTGAGGAAACTGGGCTTATTTAGTCTGGAGAAGAGAAGACTGAGGGAATTTAATACCAGCCTTCAACTACCTGAAGCGGGGTTCAAAAGAGGATGGAGTTAGACTGTTCTCAGTGGTGGCAGATGACAAAACAAGGAGCAATGGTCTCAAGTTGCAGCATGGGAAGTTTACATTAGGTATTAGGAAAAACTCTCTCACTAGGAGGGTAGTGAAGAACTGGAAAAAGTGTGTGGAATCTCCATCCTTGGAGGTTTTTAAGACCTGGCTAGACAAAGCCTTGACTGGGATGATCTAGTTGGAGCTGGTTCTGCTTTGCGCACAGGGTTGGATTAGATGACTTCCTGGGGTCTCTTCCAACCCTAATTTTCTGTTTCTATGATTGTATGATCATGTCTCCTCTTACTTTCTAGCCCCATGAATTTTGCTTTCTTTACTGCAGAGTTGCATGACTTCAACAAGAGGGATATGGAATAATCCTAGCCTAGTCTTGCCAGTAGGCCAGTGTTAATGAATGTGTGTAAGTGCCCACTAATGGGAGGAAATGAGGAGGCAGCACAAGAACCTTCAAATATACAGCCATTTTTCAGAGCTGGCTTTAAATAAGAAGTGACATGAAAGACTGCACCCTAGCAGGAAACATATTTTACTGATATTGTAAACACAAATGGTATGAAATATAAAAAATGAATACTTCTCTCTCAGTTGTAAAGAAAAATAATGGCAAAGAACCTTAAATATTTTGATGATGTAGCTCATGATTATACAACATTTTGAACATATAAATCAATAGTAAGAATGGATGAAGGGGGGGAGGTTGTTTTGGCAGTGTTTATTGCTCATTCAATATCAGTTTCACACTTGAGGCATTTCTGGCTATGAAACTTGTGAAGCATGATTTATTAAGTGAGAAGATATCTTTTATTGGACATATTTTACAGCTGGGAGGAGCACATCTCTCCAAACTATAAAGCTAGTCCAATAGAAGATATTACCTTACCTCACAAATCTTGCTTCTCACATATTCCCTGGATCACCATAGCTATATCACCAACATGGGAAACTCCTAACAGCCAGGATGTCAGTAAAAGCCAAAGAAACACGAACACAATCTGGAGGACCAGAGAGATCCAGCAAAGGTCAGAGGCTGTAGCATACCCTAGAGGTCACAAAAACGTTCTGAATGATAGCTTCTGTTTCTGGTATGTTAATTCAGACCTTCACAGAATAGTTATAATCATAGTATATGGACAGTCAAACAGAAGTCCATAAGTATATTCTCAAAAGCTTGAGATAACAAAAATACTGAAATCAACAATATTCTACTGTGGATCCAAAACTACTGCTCTTCCACTTAGTTGTATCATATAACAACAGTTCTTGCATGAGTTTCTAGTGCAAATCAGCACCCCCAGACCCTTTCTACCCCTTTTGCAAGACAATTTTGGTACTCGCCAACAGCAGACAGTACACACAAACACATGATGGCAGCTACAGAAACATGTCGCAGACAATGACTGAAGAGAACAGATCCACACAGGAGACTATATTTTGGTGCATGTCAGTCCCACAATGCACCACACAAAGCAGCTGACTGCAGGCTTGCACCACACTGATCACATAAGAGTGAATTTACCTTGCATATAATGATTTTTTCATATAAAAAGGGTCATCACAGAAGAGCGAATTTGCACATACAGAACCCACATAAAGTGAGGGAAACCTGTGCACACAGAAGATAGTTTAAGAGGAATATAGAATGCCTTTCATACCACTGTAATAGAAGAGAACAAGAAGTAGAATACTTTTAATCTGCATGCAAACAGAGATAAGAAAAAGGGTTTATATTATTGTAGGTCAAAATGATAGAAGAGAGGAGCTATCATGTAAGTAGCAAGGTAAAATCCTTGCAGCACGCACTGGAAGGAAATCCTGTTAGCACCCAGATGCACACTCACTTCCAAGCACATGCAGAAAAGTACGATATGTCAAATTGAAATGTACAAGTAGATAAAAATCAAGGTCAAGGCTGTGCTTCATTAGAGGCTGGGGATGAACATATACAAGCTGCCTCTGAAGGGCTGATATTAAGCCATTATATGTGAGGTGTGAATTGAGGACTGATGGAATGCAAAATGGGAAACAATCATGTGTCTATATATAGATGTGAATGATTCTGGTAACAGGATACAATTAAATAAGCTGTCATATGTTAGGAAATGTATTGGTCAGTAATTTGTCTTATTATTGCTGTGGTTTAGTTAGAAAATTTAAATGACAAAAATTACAACCTGCTATGTAAAACAAAATACATGGGGTGGGGAAAAAAAGTCTATGTGATCGGATGGGACTGCTTGGAGCCTGGTCCAATAAGGGTGAAAGTGCAAGAGGCAAAAGAGGCTTTAGGCCTTACTGCCAGACAGCAGACCTGCTGTTGAGTTCTTTGAATCTATAAGCCAGGTCAGCAAGGTGCAAAGTGGTAAAGGGAAAAGAAAATGTGGGAAGCTAGAACAAAAGTGATGTAAAAAATGAGGAGCACCAGTTCCTATTTCAAATGATTCATTGTGTTTTTTATGTCTTTTCCTATTCTGCTTTGGTGTTACTCTCAAGGCAGGTCTCTTGTTTAAGTTGCTTGGGAGTGAGTTTTATCCATTCAGAGATGGGAGAGAGAAACGCACTGTTTTTCTGGGGGATCTTGCTTATTCTTCCTGCTTTGTTTTCCTCTCCTGCACTTCAGATTTGTTTAATTTCTCAGGAGCCTATAAGATTTGATGATCCTAAAGCAGCTATATATCTACAGACAAACCAAACAAACTTTAACAAGAAAGTTACTAGCCATGGATGGTGAGTGCCAAGGTAGGCAAGGTAAGAAATAATTTTTTTCTTAAAATTAATTCATTCAGAGGCATGCATTTCACAAAAGGAAAATTGCACCTGACAACCATTTAGGTGGTTTCAGAGAAGTTTAGTTTGGAGATTAAGAGGAACTTTCTGACTATGAGGGTGGTTAAGCATTGTAATAGGCTAACTAAAGAATTCATGGAATTCCCATCCTTCGAAGTTTTCAAGAACAGGTTAGACATCTCTGGCTGGGTTAGTTTAGTCAGGGGCGATTCTGCCTTGAGCTAGAGATCAGACTAGACGACCTCATGAGATCCCTTCCAGGCCTACTTTCATGTGATCCTATGACAATGACAATGCAGAAGTTGTGCTACATATATATTATTATGTCTTTGCATGATACTTGGTGCTTTGGATATCTAAGTTTTACATTTCTGATGGAAAACAACATCAGAAAACAACTTCTTTACGGCAGACATTGTAGAATGTTTGTTATACTCATGTTGTCCTTTGACTCCTGAGGATTTATTAGCCAGAGTTCCAATAAACTAAAATTTATAGACCATCTTCGTGAATTCACTGCAACATTTCCAGCAATATATAAAGCATTTGATAGTAGTTATCAATATGCATATTTCATAGATTTCATAGACATTAGGGCTGGAAGGGACCTCGGAAGATCATCGAGTCCAGCCCCCTGCCCAAGGGGCAGGAAGTCGACTGGGGTCATAGGAGCCCAGCAAGATAAGCATCCAAATTTCTCTTGAAGGAGTTCAATGTGGGTGCTTGAACCGCCTCCAGCGGCAGGCTATTCCAGACCTTGCGGGCTCGGACAGTAAAGAAATTCTTCCTTATGTCCAGCCTGAAACGGTCTTGCTGGAGTTTATAACCGTTTGACCTTGTCATCCCTTGGGGCGCTCTGATGAACAATCATTCCCTCAGATCCTGGTGAACACCCCTGAATAACTTATAGGTGGCCATCAAATCGCCCCTGAGCCGGCACTTTTCCAGGCTAAAGAGCCCCATAGCTCTCAGCCTGTTGTCATAAGGTCTGTTTTCCTGACCTCTGATCATGCATGTGGCTCTTCTCTGAACTCTCTCAAGTTTATTCACATCCTTTTTGAATTGTGGAGCCCAAAACTGGACACAGTACTCCAGCTGCGGCCTCACCAAGGCCGAGTACAACGGAAGAATGACGTCCCGGGATTTACTTGAGAAGCATCAATGGATGCAGTCCATTTTGCTTGCTTTACTAGCTGCAGCATCACATAGAAGGCTCATGTTCATCTTGTGGTCAATCATGACCCCCAAGTCCTTTTCATCTGTAGTGCCAGCCAACGTAGCACTGCTGAGCCTATAAGGATGCTGCAGACTTTTCCTCCCAAGGTGGAGAACCTTGCATTTTTTGGTGTTAAACACCATCAGGTTCTCATCCACCCATTTGCTGAGCCTGTCCACGTCAGCCTGGATTGCCCTCCTGTCCTTAGGTGTGGACGCTTTACCCCAGAGTTTGGTATCATTGGTGAACTTGGCCAGTCTGCTTCTGACTCCAATGTCCACATCTTTAATGAAGATGTTGAACAATACAGGTTCAAGGACAGAGCCTTGGGGGACCCCACTGGTCACAGGGCATCATGATGATTGACTTCCGTCAACCACCACCCTCTGGGTCCGATCACTGAGCCAATTCCCCAGCCAGCAGATCGTGGTGGACCCAAGGCCACAGTTGGCCAGTTTTGCCAAGAGGTGATCATGGAGTACCAGATGGAAGGCTTTTTTGAAGTCAAGATATATGACATCAATCTCCTCTCCCTTGTCTAGGTAATAGGTCACCTGGTCATAGAAGAAAATGAGATTGGTCAAGCAAGATCTACCCGCAACAAAACCATGCTGGGTATCCCTCAGGATATTGCCATCAGCTAGTCTGTTAAGGATGACCTCCTTAATAATCTTTTCCAAGACCTTGCCCAGGATAGAGGTCAGGCTGATGGGCCTGTAGTTTGCCAGATCCACTTTCCTCCCTTTCTTGAACATAGGCACCACATTGGCCTTCTTCCAGTCTTTGGGCACTTCACCAGAGTGCCAGGAGTTCTCGAAGATCCATGCCAGGGGCTGGGCTATGATGCTAGCCAGCTCCCTGAGTACCCCAGGGTGTAGATTCTCAGGGCCGGCTGACTTGAAGGTATCCAGCCTCTCAAGGTGTTCCTTCACGAGTTCAGCATTGATGGAGGGCAGGGAATCTTCCTCACCCAGGCCTCCCTGTCCCATAATGGACATGGGTGTCCTGTGGGACTGATGAAAAAACAACGCAAAGTACCCATTTAATAGGTTGGCTGTTTCTTGGGCGTCGGTTGTCAGTTGTACCATCTGGTTTAGCAGAGGTCCAATGTTGCCCTTGCTTTTCCTCTGACTCCCCACATATCTGAAAAAGGACTTTTTATTGTCTTTGATACATGTAGCTAGCTGGATTTCCATCACAGCCTTGGCTTTCCTGGTTCACTCCCTGCAGGACCGGACCAGTGCAGAATATTCCTCCTTGGAGGTGGATATTCATAGATTCATAGATTCGTAGATGTTAGGGTCAGAAGGGACCTCAATAGATCATCAAGTCCGACCCCCTGCATAGGCAGGAAAGAG